ACTTATCATGGATGCTGTTGTTAATACCAACGTTCAAATATTTTTGCTCCCCTTTTATCTTCGGCGCTGAGGCTTTTCAAATATTCCTGTGCTTCCAATAATTTTCATTTGTTTTCCGCTACTGTTTGGCGAGAAAGTTCCCTACCAACTTGTTTGTTTAAATTTTAATCATTAAATCGTCAAAAGAAAAAAACAGAAAAAATCTATGCCTTGTCGAGACATTTTTCTCTTGCTTTGCCTTCGAACCATTCCAAGTCTACACCAGTTTAAATACTAGCAGTAACAGTTTCGCTCAACGCCTTAACTGCTTGCGAAACGCCTATCTTACCCATAATATTGGACCATAGGTGCGAAATCGCAGGCTTAGGACAAAGTTTAAAGCTGTTAACGTTGTCCTTTTTGAGGTTATAAACAGCTTTTATAACATCAAACTTGATAGTGTCATTCCACGATGAAATATCTGAAGGCAGATAGGTGTTGCTTATACATTTACGTGGGCCACTTCTACAGATTATGAATTTGTTCTCCTTTAAACTCGAAAAAAAGCCCTCAGCACTTTTCACTAGGAATGTTACATAATTTCACGTTTACCGCGGTCTAATTACACTCAATGGCCTTTACTTTCAGTCCCAAACTTTTACCAAAACCCACATTTTCTCGGCATAGCTTTTGCAATTCTGAGGTTGTTAGCTTACAAAGCGAATCATAACTAAGAAGAAATTTAAAGTTATTCGTTATGCTCCGGGCCATAAAAAATAAACATGTGCAAATATTCTCACTTTTGCTGGATCCGTTTCCAAGATCTATAAATCCATCAAGCAAGTCACTTGGCCGATCAAAATTAAGTCTTTGCGGACACAGATTTCGTCGAACGTTATTTGACAGAGCCTGGCATGTTCCGGTAAATGACTAATAATTGAAGAAGGCTCCATAGAAGAGAAGTCGTAGAATAACTTATGGGCGATATTGAAAATTGGGCAAAACATACCAAATGTATGTGTAAGCAAATAAAATTAATAAATATATAAATAATCCGCGTGAGTGACCGAACGATTCTGACCAATTTGGCCCATTTACAACACAAACCTGCGTGCAGAAATTACCAATGTTTCTTCCAAATGTGAAGCCGATATCTTCGTTGTTGCGACCGGCAGTGCGCCAACAACACATACCACACAGACGGACGGACATCAACTCAGAATTTCACGCTGATTAAGCATATAAACACTTTATAGGGTCTCTCTCTGTTCCTATTGGGTATTACATACATTATGAAAAAAAGCAGAATAAGTGTGCCCCCATCCTTCTGTGGTGGGTATAAAAACGAATTTAATTATTTGACAACGTTTAGTATGCTCGTCAATAAGTCTCAGAGTTGCGTGAGAACATAATTTTTTCACAATATTTCACTCAACAATGATCAACAATGTGTACATCGAGAGTAACACAATCGGAACAAGTCTGCCATTGCAACCATCGACTTGTAACATCATGCGTTGCCGGCAATTTTCATCTTCAATAAAATATTCGTTGTTCACATTTCGTTCTGAATAAAATACAAAAGATCCGTTCTACCCAGAGGAACTATCGGTCCAATCCAGGAGTACATTAGTGATCTCATGTTTCGCCCATTTTTGCATACCACACGAAGCAGGGCGGCAAAGTTTTATTCCGAATAGTTAACACACTGCCTTTGGTATATTTAAGATGTCTTCTACCTCTTACTATATCTTTTCTTTCCGATGAATGAGAATAATTTTCTGCATTTCATTTTCTATTTTCTGATTTAATCAGCAACGATCTCGTTTAAAATTAGCGCATCACCAACAAGTTGTTGTTTCCAAATAAGCAAAGCTGGCATAACGCTCTTCAAGCCAAGGCAAAATATTAATCGTATTTTTTCTAACCAAAACAAAACATTTAATTAAGCCGCGACACTTGAATTTAAAATCACCGTAATTTCGAACCAATAGTCGAAATGTCATCAAATTTTGAGCCTTGGTTTAAAATTAAAATGCTTTTTTAGGTTAGGGACGATTGTATGTGTCACTTACGGAACTTTCCCATCAAAGTGTTATATAATCTTCTCCTAATTAAATCAAATTTGAAATGATTCGCTAATTCGAACGCTTAATCTATCCCTTCATTAAAGAGCTCTCCATGACGTCATTGATCTAGTCTTCCTTTCGCCATTATATTTATAAGATCAATTGAGTTCTTAGAACGCTTTTCATAAGGTTGTTATTTCGGACTTAGAAAAATCGTAAAACCACCAATCGCATATCGTTCTTGATCGGTAATATTAGTCAAATTTTAATTCAAAACCTTCTCCAAGAATTTCAACGACATTGCAATCGAAATGCTGTAGGCCCTGCACCACTTGGTTTGATGCAGTTCTTCCGCTACACCCGCCATAAAATTTCAAAAATTATATTTTTTTAACATGAGCCATGAAGGCTCTTCTTACCTGAGGACGGATTCGAAATATACATCTACGTAATCCGAACATAACATGAATTTATCGATCAAAGCATTATTTTACATCAATTTCCATCATAAAATACTAATAGTAATACTAGATCTTGTGTCATCTAAGAGCTTTGTGCAGTTTATTCACATAGAAAATATAATTTTTTACCGACTTTTCTCAAGAAAAAATTAAACAATTTTTCCATACAACGAGATTTTCAAGCCAAATTCCTTTATTATGGCATTATGGTAAGAAGAATTCGACTGGCTCCACATGTTAATGAACCAAAATCAATTAAAATTTTTGGAAAATTGCGATTTATAGGCTAAACGTAAATTCCGTGGGCAGACAATAGATAATACTAAAATGATTGGGGTAATGGAGATCTATTTCAAGTCTTTTCGGGAGTTGAACATACGCCCAAATTTAATGTTCCCTTAGCACAATTCATCTGTAGCATTAAAAAGCCGGAAACGAACTTGTGCATATTTAACATAAGCCGTCATTGCAAGCAAATGAGTTCGCGCAATGCCCTAGAAATTAGCGTCAAATTTTTTTATACATCTCTAGAGCAATACCGACCGAAAGGTGCGTCTGTTGAGTAAACTATTCCCAGCATTTGTTTTACATTATATGCAATATAACATATATGTCAAAGCCTTGCACGAATGGAAAAATTAAAAAATTTTCTTACCTTATTACATTCTCCCAAGGCCTCTTTTATTGCAATCATATTAGCTGACGTTAATATACTTTGAATGTCGGCACCAGTATAATTTTGCGTTTTTGAAGCGAAATATTCAAAATCGACAGTTTCGTCAAGAGCAAGAGTTTGAGAAAGAGCTTTGAATATGGCTAATCGAGCAGCGTCATTTGGCAAGGAACATTCAACCAAACGATCTATACGTCCCGAACGCAATAAAGCCGGATCAAGTAATTCGGGTCTGGAAGTTGCTGCAATAACCGTAACACCTTGCAAATCTTCTACACCATCCAGTTCAGTTAGTAGTTGATTGACAACGCGATCGGTAACACCGGTTGAATCGTGACCACGTTTAGGTGCTAAGCTATCAAATTCATCAAAAAAAAGTACGCAAGGCTTGGCGCTTCGCGCTCTGAAAATAAAACGATAATTTACTTTATTAAATCAAAAACTTTTAACCTATTAGTACTAACCTATTGAAGAGGTTTCGTACATTTTCTTCACTTTGTCCGATATATTTGGCTAAGAGTTCAGGCCCTTTCACAGATATTATTCGCAAATTCCAGCAACTACTAATTTTTGATACCAGATACGTCTTTCCCGTACCGGGAGGGCCGTACAATAAAACACCAGCTTGGTTCCGCAGTGGCGACAGATTAAAAATACTTGGATACTGTTAGAAGACACGAAAAAAATTAATACCAAACTATTGTTATTCGATTATAATCGCTATTTTCTGACTTACCCTTGACGGCCACCTTAAGACTTCCTCAAGAACCGACACAACCGATTCCAAGGCGGGCGTTTTTTCAATGGATACTTCATTGCCCTCAAGACTATTTTTCGCCAAATTATAGCTTACAATTCCGTGCAAGCAATAAGCGTTTGTACTCTCAAGCGAATTCATTAGTTGTTCATTTGTAAGAATCGGATGAATTTTATCTAAACTCAATTTGTAAATGAAATGATATTAAAAAACTCATAAGCATATCGTAAGTTTGTTTACGAAATCTTACTTATACGATAAGCATAGAAAATCGCCCGTTCAACAAATTGCACTAAATCACTGTAATTGTAACCCTCGGTCAATCCAGCGAACCTTTTAAAATCTAGTTTGTTGCTCCTAATGTGACCACAAAGTTCCTTAAGAATCACTTCGCGATCTAATAATTCTAAATTTGGCAGCTTAACAATAGTTTGGAAGAGATGTCTGCCACGGGGGGAATACAATCGGGTATTAAGCGTTTGCACGTCGTTAATTGTAGCAATGACAGCTATGGGATGGCTACTGGTGTATTGAACTATCAGCTGATGTACTGTATCGGCGATTCGATTGTAGTATTCACCATCGTGAGTAATCTGTTCCCCTGAGGTATGAGCCAAGGCATCTAAATTTTCCAGAACGAGAATTGATGGCGCGTTTTGAAGAGAAGTTGTAAAAAGTGTTCGTAAATCCTTTTGAATGGATTCAGCCTTAAAACCAAGCGAATATTAAATATCACTATTGTACGAACAATAAGTAATGAAGTACCTTGCGTCCTTTACTACGGGTGCAATAAAAAATATCAAAATAACAGTAAAATGGCTTACGTATCAACTGATCCAGTACTCGCTCAACAACAACAGTTTTCCCTGTTCCTGTCGCTCCTTTAATGTAAATTTAGATTAAACAGTCACATAATACAAACAAGTAAGAAAATTATATTCGGCCGTCACCGAATCATTTATACCCATCACCTTTATAGTAAAAACGCCTAAAAGAAAAGAGAAAAAAGCTAGATTTGCACACACTATATGGGCGTGGCTAATTTTTTCGAGCAAAAAAATATGGAAAGCAAAGTTGTTCTCACTTTATATTACATTGTGGGCGTGTTCGTTGGCCGACTAGAGTTATTTTCCAAATCTTTTGCAAATTGTGCAGAGGATGTCTTCATCCTTGCGAGCGGGTGAACTTTTACCAAAATACTACACAGTTGGGCAAACGGACAAATGGACAGACGAACACGCGGACACATGTAGATGCATTCCGAATTTTACACTGGCCGACCATATATGCGTTCTATGGGTTTCTTGAAGCTTGCTTATTGGAACTATAAAGTTTTCCATAAAAAAAATTATATTGTAATACACTATGTAATATGGGTTGGGGGTAGCCCCCAATTTATATAAGTCTTTCTGCCACAGTTTCTGAATAAAAAACCGAAAAATCAAGTTTTGTTCCCTTCGAAAAATTGAGATGTTTTCCATTCACGTGGTACCGTAGGCGTGTCATCCAACCGCTTCGGCCCATTTTCAACACGAAACACCCAATGCAAGAAGATTGAATGCTTCCTCCAAAATTGAATGCAGATAGCTTCTTTTTTGGGATCAGGAATATATTAATACAGGCATTGCGCAGACAGACGAACGGATACGCTTGGGGTCTGTGAAGCTTACTTTTGGCCCTGACAAACCTTCCAAACAATCCTTCAGTGATGGATATAATAACAAATCATTCACCTTACCTGAGAGAAGTATATTCGTCTGTCGAAGAATGGAATTTTTTGAGTCGAGACATAAATTACTTTTCAGTTCATAAATCAACGAACTAACAATCGAATCAAGTTTTGGTAGCATAATGAGATCCTTCACGCTAAGGGGTGACTCCACATTGGCTTGAACATCAATCAAATCATCAACTTTACGTACAATATCTGCTGCATAAATTTTATTTTCTTTTAAAAAATTGCATATCAATCATGCAATATTGAAAGTGTTCAGGTAGAATGGTCACGCTTACAATAAGATCTTCTTCTAATTTGACCACTTCGTTTTGGTTTAGAAGCATAGGACTTGTTTTCGTTTTCTCGATTACAAATCGTTTAAAGGCATTTTCAACGATTTTATAATGAGTTTTTTTAGATGCAAAAAGTTCAATCTTTTCCACAAAATTCACGATCATCGGTTTGGGCTTAAATACAACCTTCTCTAATTCCTTTAAATTTAAATGTTTCATAAGACTAACGTTAACTTCAACGGTAGGGTGAATTGTTTGTGGTATTTCGTCTGTGCTTGTTACTTTAACGCGCACGTAATACTCTTTATTTTCTAACGTTTGCATGCAATATATCGCGTCGGAATCCATGCAATCGGGTCGATTGCTTTCGCTTATCAAAACGTCAGAGATTTGTAATTTTCCATGCCAGAGACCTGAAACCACACGAAATTCCATAAATTTCGGTTTTTCACGTTGGAGATCCTTCTTTAAACGCTCCATTTTATCCTGCCAATTCACTTTAGCTACACTTAATGTACGTGACAACTGGTTCACGTTTTTAACTGTCATCGATCGCGGCAGCAATTGTGATTCGTCATTTTCATGAAAATTATTATTAATATATGCGGCAGTTTTACTTCGCAATAATTTATTCGATTCATTATTCTCCATATTGTTATTATCATTTTCACTAGCTTTAAATGAGTTTTGAGCAACAATCAGCTCAGTTGTGTGATCTATTCGACCATAAGGTACACTAGGCTTTAATCGGTCTAATCATTTGCATTGTTATTAAAAATATTCACAAATAGTGATTGGTAAATACTTACCAACCGTTAACGCCGCCTGTATCGATTTATTTACCCAAACAATTAGTATTTGATTGTTATTAATTATACGCGTTTGTTCCAGGATAGTTTTTGATACTTGCTCACTACTTAATTCCTGAAAATTGCAAATACAATGATAAACGTTAATTAAGTTAATTTATTTTTACATGGAAAAAATTAAATAAAACACCTACGAAAATCTCCCAATCCTTGGCAGTAACAGGCGTAACGAACACATTTCGTAAAGATGACACATCTGCAACAAGTACGCACTTCACTAGATCATCTTCATTCAAGCCTGCAAAGAGATTTAACGGCCCAATGGCCTATGCTTAACACTATGTATGCATCAAACTTTTAAACGAGAAATGTAAATAAAAAAAATCATTATTGGATGAATTTCGTGTTCAAGAGGCGCTCGCATGACACGCTTTATATGTCATTCGTATTAATGTATTTCCGTCTTTTTCTCAGTTTTTTAGCCGTAAATTCATACATTATTTCCTCCTCTATGTCGTCAATAGTGACAATTATTGCTAATTTACTTATTTTGTTTTACTTATCGAATCGAAGATTTTGATAACTTTTTACCGCTGACTGGTTTCTTGTCTCTTATTATATTATGCATTGATTGTTATGAATGCATTTACATACAATATTCCCGATTTGGTGCAAATAGTGCTTAATAGTGGCTTCTCCAATTGAGCGGACACAAGGCGAAAGGCCTAAGTAGAAATGTCAATTTTAGATTTGTCACTGTTTAGAAATTTGTTTTTTTTAATTTACCAAAAATATTTTATATTAATCGGAACTCGTTTTCTAGATACGCTCCATCCCATCATAGTTTTAAAGCAGGAGTACGCCTAAGGTGCCAAGTAAGCCAATCATTTCTTTCGCTTCGCATAATACTACCACGATTACGATAATATCAGTTACATTTTAGCAGTTCAGCCATTTCAATTTCATTATTGTAACGGTTGTTTGCATTAAACATGGTTCCCAAAGATTTAGCGAATCACCCATCTTTTTCGTAACGATCAGTGCAGTGACACCATTGAGCATTTGCATTTTAACATTTTCGTTCTGTTCATTCTTTAAAAACTATTGCCATTAGTTCGTCGATTCCGGGTAATTTTGTCCAAAGATTATTCTCTGCACTCTATCTAACATTTAAATATTTTCGCAAGGCAAACTTGTCTCCGTGAGGAGTGTTTACACCACAGTCAGTTGGATCGATCCCTCTATAAAAGCATGACATAATCGGCGATTTGAGCACTATTTTTTCTGAAATACGTTTCTCAAAAAAAATGACTCGATAATGGTCGAATCGGAAGACGAACCGATTTATAAACAAATAGTAAATGCACTCTTTATGAAAGAAACTATTTTGTTTTACCGAAACCGAAGCGGAGGTCATTACATTGACTGTTCACGTTCTTTCGCATATATATTTTCGCCATCTTATCACATCTTTATAATAATTGTTATATATTTTAAAAGGGACTAACCAATTTCCTTTGCAACTCGGGCATTAATTCCAATTTCCGTTTCTTTTACCGTTCCGGCATGTGGCGCCCAAGATATATAATGACTGCGAGCATTGTACTGCAAGTTAAGGCAACCAGTATCCTGTTACAAATGTTAAAAATTATTCTTTCATTATATAGAGCTTTTAATGTTCTGACAGCTGTATAAACTTACACAATTCTTCTCTAATTGAAATATTTACTTACATATGTTGAGACTACTTTAAAATAATTTTCGGGTAATAATACAAAATTATTTCTAGCAGGACGGAAAACAACTTTAAATGTTCTTTTAAACATTACGCCTTCTAACGCTTATAGATTTGTTGGCTGTGCTGATGCGATAGCGAATTAATGTTTATGAAAAGCTGCACAACTATTTTAAGTAAACTAAATAACAAAAAAAAAAAAAACAACAACAGAAAAAACACTGCACTGTGCACACAGAAGGGATCTACAATTAACTACCAAAATACCCTTGATTTCCTAATTATGATTATTTTGTACTTTGTGCGTACTGACAGAGTTACCAGTTTCCTACGAAAACGAATCCCAATGAATTAGGTATAACGATATATATTTACATTTAGCAGAACCCATTCATCTATTATCACAAAGCTATTAAGCGCCTATCATTCGTGAAATAGATCGGCAATAATATAAAAATAAAATGGAATCATAGGCAAAAGAAGTAGCATGATAAGCAAAAGTGTAACCATAGACAAGGAATGAAGTCATAATTCATATATATCCTAAGATACCCGATTACTAGGCAGATCGGGAAGATGTGATTACAAAATTTCCAAGCGCGCTAAGCATAACGATATCGCGATATCGCAAAGGCAACTATATAACATACTATACATAGTTATAGTAAATGGACCTTTTTGTATAACGTTTAGATTACATACTGTCTTAAACGTGGCAAAATGCTTCAAATGATGATACAAATTAATGGCGAATATATGTTTATAGTATCCGCTTTTCAGTTCAGTTTGTTGCAAAAAATGTTGTAGCATTTAATTTTCTAAATTTTCGTTAAAAACAAGCTTCTTCTTTGCCATAAATTTGGGACGCTATGTTGAAAATTGATTCGATTTTTGTAGGTTTTATTTATAGGCAAATAGGCGTGTCGATCGTTACACTACTATACTACTATACTACTATAAAGCGATAGCTTCGTTCGTTACAAGTATACCTATCTAAATTCTTATAAATTAATCGTTGCTAGGAAAGGTACTGATTGGTCAAAAATGCTTAAAACATTCAATTTATATGATTTGGTTGCGTTATCATAAATGCATCACTGCTTGGCCTGAGGAAAGAAGCGCATTGCATTACAATACAAGCTATATGTTCAATATAGGTGCACACATATAATTAGATTTTATTTTTAGTAATGTATGCAATTCTAAGCGGTAAAGACGTTAAAATTTCCTCGTCAAGAGAAATTATGCAAAATAATATATGAACGCACCTCTCATTTACTACAGCAGCAGAAGACATTCGCAAGAAAAATAATAGTCATGTTTAAATTCATTTATTCAAATGATTCCGCCTACTTTAATGATTGATTTATTTTATTCTTTTATTTTTTTTTTTAAATAATTTCACTTTTCTTCTTTTGTTGTCATTTGTTTCTGAGACATTTCACTTGCGTCGATTTACTGTTGTTCATCGTAAATTTGTTTACACATAAGTTTTAGCAAAATGACAAAGCAAATAAAAAAGAAAATCAAGTAAGAGCTTTGTAGTTGGGCAAGGTCGATCCTCAGATGCCCTACACCATTATCACTTTTCAACTGTTTTTGTCCTAAAAAATTACCATTTAGACTTATTAGGTGGGGTCTAAAAAATCAGCATATCTGATCCAATTTCCCTATGGTTAATTTCCTTCGGACCAATTTTCATCATAAAATTTTAAAAATTCATTTTTCACGTATAAGGGTTTAATATTTTTGGACAATTTTTGTATGCGATTATGTCCAAAAAATAGATCTACTCTATCCAAATTTAATTCAGTTTAATTCAGTGATGACGAAATCTGATATGAAAATTGCATGGAATATTCGACTTAGTACATTTCTCTGCGGCACTCAATTCAACATCTTCAATCTATCATTCTCAATATGAACCTATCAATGTCTGTTTTGTAAATAGGATTTAAGTAGCATGCACCTTAGAGTTAGAAGTTATTTTTTAAGATTGAAAAGTCGACCGACAGGCCAGACGTTTTAGGAGGCTTTTCTCACATTTAGGAATAAACTGCTGTATTTATTTTTATTTTCAATGGCTTCTCTGTTGTATACAGTGGCACGATGACATTGCTCAACGGAACTACGTTTCTTCCCGAAATCGAATTAGTGATTAGGCATAATAAATTCTTGCCCTAGATTTGCGAATAGTCTTCGTTGATATATTTTTTCAAATAGTTTTCAAAACGCAATCTATTAACTAATTGGTCTATACAAGCTTGCAACATTTTCTGATTTATCTGACTTAGCTACATTATCTCTGCGCATTTCCACTGATTTGGAAAGTTTTAAATCGTTTAAAAATAATGTTGGGAGGTGAGATGAAAGCCTTATATAGTAAACGTTTAATAACTGTTCCACTTATGTAATTATTGTCAGCATATTTAGTCCAATATCTACTTTATTAACTTCTCCTCTCATTTCAACAACTGATATATGCCTGATAGGTCAATCTATTTAAACGTGGCCTGCCTAGAAATCTCAATATATCTTCTGTGTCTCAAGTCCTAGAAAGATTATTAGGCTGAAAGGTTTCTTCGAGATAATGAGCAAAGTTTTCGGCCTTTTCCACACTAATTTTCTGATTTGTCTCTTAAAGGAACAATTCGCCAGATCGGTCGATTAAGATATATGGTAGCCCTTCATAAACAAAACGTTCATCAAATATGAATGAATTGATGTTAAATAAAATAAAAAATTTTTCATTTGTGCGTTCCTTATCTCATTTAAACACAGATTCTTTGCAACTCTTTTCAAACTCCTTTTATTGACGCTATGTTCTTCATCTACTCGCGTCTTTGATTATTTGCCTTATTTTAAGGCTAACTCAGTTTTAGTACTTAGTTAGCCTCTAGGCTTATCAAAATGTCTGGGAATAGATAAAAAACTAGGTTGGGGGGAAAAAGATTTGTAAAATCTTCTAGCAAGTCATCGATTTGAGAAAAGCTTCGCACACTCTTATTAAGGTATGAATTATTATTGAATCAGTCTCTAGGTCCTAAAATCAGTTCTACGATTGATGATATTTATAATTAACTGAAAGGGTTGTGAATTATCCTATATCTACATACATATATAATATAAAGTAAATTAATGGGAATGCCAAAGCATACGGCGAAATCCCGCGAGTCAGGTTATTTTGCTCAGTTCAGATGGTCAGCATGTGGGTCTCCCAATGAAGATGGCTGCTATTATGAATGGATTTCTTCTTTCGTGTTTACCAGCCTCCGGACTCGCACTACTGGCCTCAAAATTACATCCCAAAATAAATTTTGCATAAAAATTGCCTGAAAATTATTGAAGAAAATATTAAGCACCCTACATTTAATTAAGCCATTAATTTAAAGTCTGAAAGAATTATTTATAAGCGTTAAGGTTGTCTAAAAGTGCAAACAAATAACTGCACAAGTCCTAATACATTTAATGATTACGCAAAGTGTCACGCACACATTGATAGTTTGCTACAATCTTTCGATTTTGAAATGTCCATTAACAACTTTCTCGTCGGATCTTGTTTTTGTGTTCAAAGGGCTCGATAATTTCTGGCCATCTTTTTCTTCAAGTTTTCCTATATACGGCATTTATGAAATTTGCACTTACAGGAAAGAGTTTATATAAAAAGTTAGTTCAGCAGAAATATATGCACATATGAATGTACGCACATTGAAGGATAGATATAGAGAATGTTGGTATTTTTGATTAGCAATTAAGCAAGCGCATGCGCAAGCATGGCTAACAACGTGGTCAACGAGTTTAACGTAGTATACTAAAAATGCATTAACTCAACTACTTTTTGACTTTTTTCGTTTTATTTTTAAAAGAATTCCGCTCATAAGATACTTCTTAATAATAGACTACGATTTTTAGTCGAATGCAATTTTTCGTTATATTATTAATTTTTTTAGATAACTTTTAAAGTTATAAAATGGTAAATACACAGTTAAAGCATATTTCATTTACTTCTCTTTTGTTTTTTTTTTTTTTTTATTTTGATATTCCATTCAATAAAATTGATGAAATCTTATAACTATATAAAGTTTTCTTTACATAAATGGGTTTTCCCAATTAGCTTTAAAAGGGAGATATCTTTAAGATAGCACACCAATACATGCATGTACCAGCAGTAGTATGGCTTAAAGACTAGGTAAGAACACTAACATTTCATTAATTTTTTATTTTTTTTTTTCTTTTTTTTAATGCAATTAAAGGGCTTTTACCACTGAACGAACGAATATTTAATAAAAATTGCTACTAAATATATATGTATACTTTTTTATTTGTAAAATTGAAGATTACATAAACATTTAAAAAGTCTTTTTTTTTTTTTTTAATTAATTTAGTTTATTTCATGTACGCATATGCACAATAAACTTTTACATGCATATGTCTATAAATTTCAAATAACCATATGTTCGTTTCATTTGACTTTCCTAACTTAAGTTGTTGTTTTTTTTTTTTTTTTTTTTTTTAATTAATGGCAGTTCACAATTTTCGGATATTATTAATATTATCATTGTTTTTGTTTTTATTATTACTATTATTATTATTATTATTATTATTATTATTATGATTATTATTATTATTTTTTAAATACAAATGCAATTATTTAAGATTTACACATTTCACTAAAGCAGAATCATAATGCATATATGCATATGGTTTGCTTTCCGGAAAACCTTTCATAATTTATAAAATGCATTAAATAGATTAGATAGCAGTTCAGATGTTTTAGAAAAAAAACTTTTGTTATATACAAAATTTATTGCCGTTACCACAATAAACTTGAATTTTGAATCTTAACATGAGTTGCATCTCAAAGCAAAAATATCGAGGTGTGTAAACTTATTAACTTGGACTTTGTTTTTGGCAGTTGGCAGACCTTGTACTGAGAAAAAAAATTACTTTAAAGTTAAACGAAAACAAAAAAAATGATTTCAGTAGTTGCCTTCGTGACAAAGTTGAAGTCTTTCAAATTTTTCGTAAATCCTATTACTTTTGACCCTTTATAACCTAACCTAACCTAAATGAGATTAGGAGCCTAGTTGGCCAAGGAAACGCTATTGCCGTGAATTGTTACAAGAATATTTGTTCCTAAGTTTCAGATTGACAAATTGCATAGCATTTCTTAACCTATTCTGATCTAAGGCCATTAAGAAGACACATAAATGTTCCAAAAATAATAGACCTGAATGAACGGAGAGACGGACGGGCGTAGCTAAATCACTATATAATGTTAAATAGTTGAAAAATTCTGAAGCGTATTTCTGGGCGATACAAGCGCAAACAAAACTCGTGTCTACTTCCATTCGTTCATTGTTACAAGAAAGTATAATAAAAAAAAAAAACTATTCTCGAGGGACAATGCTTTATCAATCCCTTGCTTTCATATATGAATGTATATATTTTACTTCATATTGTGTATGTTTATATTAGTTTCGTAACAAAGTTCACAAACTATTCATTTGCTTACAAGAATGCTACTACAACACACACTACAAACATTCTTGACACAATCATACAGATGGAGTTCGGAAATGGACCGAAGTGGACGCATAATAACTAGAGAACGGACATAATCTTACAAAATCGTAAACTTAAGATCTTTATCGATCTCGAATTGAAAACTGATGCAAACATTTGTCGGACTCATGTACACGGCTTCGACATGAGTGAATAGCAGCTTTATAGCAGCTTTAGTTTTTGAGTTTATTTGCCTCGGATATCCTTGCATTAAAGTTTCTTCTTTTTTTTTTTTCAATTATTCTTTAAAAATTAAATTTGTTCCTGTAATTATGTGAAAGTAGACGCTTGTAGACGCTTTGCAATGTTATGGGCATAGCTATAGGAAGTTGCAAACCTACGTCCACTTCTTAAATTTTGAAAAGCTTATTTTTGGAACAGCATAGTCTCTTCTCTTTCCAACTTTTAATATAATTTCCATCCTTATTAAGAAAGATCATTAAAACAAAATGCTCACACGGTTGGTTTATCTTATAAGTGTACCTTACAAGTAGTTTGCGTTCTAAGTTATATTTAACAATTCAACAGTCGCTGTTGCAAACTGTGAAAAAAAAGGATATGCTTTCAAACAAGTAAGATTAAAAAAACGAAAGATGGGAGAAGTTTGTAAATTTTAAAAAAAAAAAAAAAAAAAAAAAATCAAAAGAAAAAATCAATTAATGCTTTAATAAATGACAACCTGCAATTACACGGGCTTGACAGGCATCGATTACGTTCGTTCCGTTTAATTTAATAATACTTTGTAAAAAGACAGTTTATTGAGGATTAATACTTATTATATCGAAAAATGCATTTGTTGGTGATTCAAATATTCACCTTTTCTTTATTATAAAGTTATTATTAAATGCCTCCGTTGAGTAATAATATTTTGGCAACATTGTCTTATAATTCAACTAATCTTCCTCGTTTTTTTTTTTTTTTTTTTTCTTTTTATAAGATTTATGGTTTAGTTAAAAATTTCTTTATATTATGAACTTGAATTAAATTTAGTGTAATAATATCAGAACACAGAACAGAAAATGAAACAAATTTCAAATGCAGTTGTTATAGGCGCTGGCGAATGTACACATTTTTATAAATTTTGAAAACTAGTCAATATCTAATATAATAATAATTAATCATTTAAGAAGAAAATAGTATACTAAATTAAAGTTGTATAATAAAAAATTTCACAACGTAAAAAATTATATATGTAGCCTAGTTCGCAGTTGGTTTAATTGGGAAAAAAATAGAAAAAAAAAAAAAAAAAATAGGCAACAATTCAAGAAAAGCAATTTCAGATACAATTTAAATAATCAATATTCGTCAAACGTAAAGTTGATGAATATAGCGTAATTAAGTAATAAAACGTGTAATTATCTTACGCATTCATACACACAAATACACGCACGCACTCACGCACGCACGCACGCATGCTCTCATACACATTCACCCATACAAAAGTTCGCACTTTCTAGATGTCATCGCTGTGCAGGGTTCGGTTCGCTCAGTCCGAAAATACATGTTGTCCGATCTTTAGATAATGTATAGATTAGAATTTGTTTCTTTAAATTGGAATAAAATTGGAATTACATTTTTTTAAATGAGTGTTTTTACGGTAAACTTTAATAAGTTTAACCGTAACATTACACTTGTGCTGTGAAGTTTAATTATCCTTTTGTATGTTTGTCTTTTCTTTCAAGGACTGAGAGAGAATAAGCTTTATAACGGCTTGCGTTTTTGCTTTTTGTTTTACTTTTAATAAATAACAGTAGCTTATGTTTGCTAAACAATTTTCCTCCTTATTTTGGTTGCCTTTTAGACTACTCTTAACATTACATATACATATATTTATTTAAATAGATGGCATATAATTTTTAATCGTTTTCGGTAATACTGAACAAGGTTATGTTACTGTTCGTGCTGTTGCTGTTGTCATTATTTAAGGTTTATTACGATGTTATCTACTGAAAAATCTTCAACTTATAATTGAATTTCAATATAGATGACTTAGTCCTGTTCAGTGGCGCCTGGATAATAATATGGCGGAGGGCGCTCATATTCAGATGCTGGTGGGGCCAAAGGCGGATTTTGATATCTCGGTGGACCGCCGTCCCAATGCCTAGTAAAACAACAATAATAATAATAATAATAATGATAATGATAAAAAAAAACATTATCAAATTGATGTTTTCTCTTATATAGTAAATATTAAAAATCTTCATGTGCTTTACTATACATATATATAAATATATATAATCAATCCGAATGCAGTATGAGTATTTGAGTAAAGGAAAAACTCGACTTTTCTTAATTTTTGTATTTATTTCTTCTTTATATGTGCAAATGAAGGAAATTGGTACGGGTTGACATGTGAAGAAGAAGATGAAAAAAGTAGCAATTCGGGGCGCAGATCGACCACTTTTTTCTTTAGCTTCTGCTCGCAGCAATGAATCCCCATACAGTGCTCACCGTAATAGCAAAATTTATTTGAAACATAAATAAAGCAAAATGTGAACGCTATGTTGATTTCTTTGAATACTCCTCATATTAAGCAAATATGAATTTTTAAATTTTACGTTCAATTCTATCAAGTTTTTATGCATAAATGGATGTAACGAACACTGAATATTTACTGCATGCGATGTCAAAGAGAGATGCTTTACGTAGCAAAAAGTTTGGCATAGTTTATAAAATAAAACTCAGTCAAACAAAAAAAAAAAACTCACTTAGGTGCCATATCGTTGTAACGAGTATCGCGTATACCCGCATTCGCTGTCGCTACCACATGCGACGTTGATCCCACGGGTTCATCGTAATAGTCTCTTCTACGTTGGTTCTTGTTTTTGCGGCGTTTGTTTTTGAGACCACTAAATAAATTAACAAAATTTGGTTAGCTGTTACAATGCACGAAAATTTCGGAAAATGTAATACACTAAAAATAAAATAAAAGCACTACAATGGGCCAGTGCCCACCGCTAAATATTCTACACTTTGTTTGACACAACTAACTTAATATAACGATTTTTCAAACTAAGACGTAAGTAGTGGGAAGTAGTCGAAAGAGTAGTCTGATTGAAAATTTTTTCAATACCGTTCGTTCATGGATCAAAACAAGTCGATGCGCCAAAATTCATCAAAATCGGGCAAAAATTCCGACCAGTCGATTGAACACGAAAAGACGGGCAGAAGAGCTTATAACAATTCGATCGATATAAGAAAACTTGGATCTAACTCAAGTCCATCTGCAAAATGCAATTCAATATGACGGCTCAATAATCCACTAAGACTCTTTAATACTGATTACTTAATATTAACCCAATGTCTTTGAAAAATTTTGAAGAAATGCGTCTCTTTTACCGCGTATCTTCAAAATAAGAATTTTTCGATGGTTGAGAAATGTCAGTTAATTTATTTCTTACAAAGGATAATAAGAGTTGACGGAGCCCACCATGAAAGAGGAGAAGTGCCTTATTATCAGTCAGAGTATTTACGACTTACAATTAATAGCGCTCTGTAAAACTTAATGCAATATATTTAAGGAACTATATTCGAACTGTGAATATGGGATCTTCAAATGTTACAATCGCCATTTCAATTCGCTACACCCCCAAAAACCCCACCGGAATAACGCATAAAAATCAAATGATTTTTTGCTAATTATGGACATATCAGTTAACAATTCAAGGCAATTTTTGCACAAGATTTATTTACATCGATATCGGGTAATCGGGCTTTGTTGTTTAAAAAGGAAGGTTTTTAGTTTGAAAATATAATATTTCAATGGTTCCATAAAGAAGCCATATATTGGTAGAGTATTTTCAACGTTATTTTTGAACGTAACTGTTTTCCAAAAGCATTAGGTTATAAATTGGCGCGTCCGTTTTAACGTGATCTTACAAACTAGATTGCTATTAATCGCGGTCTGTGCGGTTTTCTGTGATTTTTATATTACGACTGCAGACAGGAAATTGCATTTTTAACGAATGTCGAATCGGGGCGAGTAAAACTGTCAAAAACAACTTAGAAAATATCTAAAGATGACTATCGTAACAAAAAAGCACATCTACTATTTACAGTACATAGCAGCATACATATAATACATACAATTTATATTATTGTGCCTGCTTCTTAATATATCACAAAGAGATGATAATGTCAAAAGTCAGACAACTTACTTGGCTAATGGGATGTGATCGCGTTCACTGTAAGCATCGTACAAATATTCTCTGCAAAATTATTAAAATACGCATTTTAATGAAAAAACAAAAAAAAAAGAATGCGCATATTAGATAAAGGTAATCATAAAATAAGGGAAAAGCGTACTTACGACTCAACTAAAGGCCCTGGATAAGGATCGGACTTTTGATATAAGCCCGATAACTTAACTGCCACAATCAATGTCGGTAGGAAAAGCAAGACGCACCATACCACACCGGCCCAAAAACCGTTCTTTAAGTTAAAAATGTATATTTAAAAAGTGTCTTTTAAATATTTCATATAATATAAACTTAACTGACCAAGGGATCCACAATGTTATTGCAAACTGCTACTATCCCAGAATCATAGACTTGTGCCATTGGAGCACAAATTCCGATCTTTTTTTCAACGGCAAACACTACCATATTCAAATATCGTTCAATTTCACCAGCAAAATAACGTGTAAAATTTTCTGCTGTTGCTTTGACAAATGGACGACCATCCTTTTGTATAAAATTTTGAGCTCTTTCTATTTCACTTACTAATAATGGTATAGATTCTTGGAAGGGACGATCTTTGTAACGTAACGTTTGGTCCAGGTCTTGCGCTAACCTTATTAGTTCCGCTGATTGATTTTTCATTGGAATGACTAAGTTTTGATCATAAGTTTCTAAATGCAATGCTTGATTACGTAAACTGACTTGTACATCTTTCATGTCATCACTGGTAATTTTTTTTGCCGTTTCTCTTAACTGATTGGCAATTTCTGTTAAGGAATGTTTTGTTATGGTATCATTTAAATTGTCTACAAATTGACCAGAATCGAAATTTTTTAACGCTGATTCGCCCAAATCTAGGATACGTTGTTTATCGGTGGGTGTCAATATTTGTATATTACTGTCATCGAAATCGATGCCATTTACAAGATTTTGCAGAGTTTGATTGATGTTATACTGAGATGGGTACTCGTTAATTTCATGAATATCGATATGATTATGAATACGTAAAACTTCATATATTGTTTGATTAGCTTGGCATGCAGCAATTATATGAGAAATACGAAAAGGAGGTAAAGAGCCGGAAGCTGTTTTTCCTTTAATTTTCGCAGGATACAAAATTTCATTCAAATCAATCAAATTATCTAATTCGGCGAAAACAGCATCATTTTGAGGATCTCTGTGTGTGAAAAGATTTTTTAATTAATTGCCTTCAATTTATTAAAGACAACATACCTTAAAGGCACGCAAATGCCTCTAAATGCTACAATTCCGATAAAAAAATGTATCAATGCCATTAAACTTATAGCCGATATCGTTAGAAATATTGTGGCAACAGCACTAGAAGAAAAACAAATATATATATATATATATATATGTGTGTGTGTAATATATTTATGTAAGTATGTGTATATCTATTTACAATTTTCATTTTTTATTTCAAGTTTTTAGGTTAAATAACGAAGGCTCTCGTCTAAACGTGCGGCCAAAAAGGAAGAATTATTCTCCCTTTAAAGTCTTCTTCATTCCTTTTTTCCGATTGGTGCAAAAGGACTCTCTGTTGCATATGGGTAGTGATTACGATTAGTCAGTCTCCTTTAACAAGTTTACTGACGGACAAGATAAAGCTTTGAGATCTTTGCCCCTTTGTCTACAAAAAGGTATTAATAGGTCTCAATAAGTGAATAACTACGTTTCCCAGATATCTGTCTTCAAACACATGCTTGTGTTTATACTTTCAATTGACCGTGATATTATATCGGCATATTCACACTTATATCTCCTAGACACATTTTTTACGTTGAGGCGTATTTTGTTTAAACCATTCTTTGGACATAAGAGGAGAATTTTAATATGCATATCGAGCCTCCCACAAACACGTCCATCGTAGCTAAAGCCTTCACGAAAAAAGGAGACAACAACCTTCGACGGGCTTATTTATTTTATTTGCGAAAGTGATTGCAATCAGCGAGCTGACGCGGCCAAATTTGAGAAAAAGTTACAATTTTACATGTTTTTCGTATACAAGAGATGTGTGAATCGGTTCGAAACGAAAATGGATTTCTTGCCTTTTTATAAAATTTAGACAAGAATGTTTTTAATACTTACAACATAAGGAATCGGGAACCGGAGCCTTTATTGCAACAATCATCACCGTAGCCATCAGGCCGTTTGCCACATACTCCGCAAAATAAAGCTGCCACCAAACACACTAATATCTGATGATAAAAATGAAAATATTTATTATTAGAATTGAAAAAATGTCATTCGTTACTACCAGTAAAAGAACCGAGCATACGCAAATTCCCAAATAGAATCTGTATGGACTGTATTCTGCTAGGAAATCATCGGTTAGTTCGGCATATTTATTCGTATTAGTACTGATAGCTTTTGATGCTTTATGCAAAGAAGTTTTTATATTATTAGATGCCTTTTGCAAACCTTCTCCTAAAGTGAAAACGTGAACGTGATATTGAAAAAGAGAAATAAATGCTTTTTTTTTTTTTATAATTAATCTTGCCTGCTTTGTTAATCGAATCTATTATTTGCGGTGTATAGCTGGTAATCGTTTTATTTAAATGCGCTCGCATGTCTTGCAGGGCATTTCTTCCCCGTTCTCCGGCAGAAGCTATATTTTCACTTATTAAAAGATCCAAGTTTTTAATGATTTCGGTCACATCGGGTAGCTACAAAATATACAATAAGCTTGTATTAATACATAAAGGAAATTAAAATGATATTGCGACCCGTCTATGATGATATTATGGTCAACATCCCAAGTATAAAATTACTTAAGAAATAACGAAAAAAGGTTTAATAAAATCTAATAGTCCCCATGCTTCGCGCATTTTACAAAGTTCAAATATATAATGACTAATCGTTTTATCGCGTATAAAATCGTATATTTTGCATTGTGTTCGCGTATAATAAGAGAATTGTGAGAAAACAATATAATTTACAAAAGTAGTGGCGTTATTAACATATGAAGCCATACGATAAGCGCTTACATTTTCTATTTGGTCAAAGTCGTCTCAGGTCGCTTGTAAGAATATATATATATATATATATCTGTGTCTCTAGACTACCTTTATGTTATTCTAATATTCTTTTATAACAGACATTGAATAAGCAAGCTTTTATGAAAAGAACTTTTAATCATCTTAAAAATTCTGAAAAGAAGTGTGAGGTTTTTCCAAAAAATATACCTACGTAATCCGAACCTAAAACAGCAAATTCAATTGATATATTACTAAAAATAACATTTTGCTGCCACATGGAGGTTAAAATTGCTTTTTATGGAGACACTGATTTTCATATCTACCACCAGGGATTGAGGTATATTTATTTTGTCAAAACGTTTGCAGCATCCACCAATAAGCGTCAGAGCTATAATGTATTCTTGATCAGTATCATATTCTGAATCGATTTAAACATGTCGGTTTGTCCGTTGGAGTAATGCCTGTGGTAGGCATTTTGTCAATCCCAAGAATCAAGATATCGCCTTTACTAGAAAAATTGAAAGGTCTTGTACGCGCGGATGATATTGAAAATTGACCAAATCAATTGAAGAACACGTACGATGAACTGAACTTCTGTTTTCAAAACCAAAAAAAAAAAAAAAAAAGGCTAATTATGCCTAAACTACAATAATAAGAATTTTTATATTCTGTGAACCTGTAGAGAAATGTGAAAAATTTGTCACGCTTCTCCAATATTACGGAGTAACGAAATTTCATTTTCTTCGTTCGAACATTCGTCTCAGATAACGACTTTGTCACAATACGTCGTTGATTGTCGAATGATCGCAAACGTAGTTCGAGTTTATATATTGTCAAGGTTCGTGTTTAGACCAAAACATATTAATACATCAAAATGTTTCGAAAATTTGGAGCCACTAGATGAATGGAAATTCATCATACATGAATATGGATATAAATCAGACTAGGCATGTTTACATTTAAGAAATGATTATTCATTTGTTTGTATAATAAAATATAGTTTTGCCTTAAGTCCTTTTCCAAGCCCAAATTTAATATGCCCTTGCCACAAATAAGATGATAAGAGACTTCAAGATTAGTAATTTTTACAGTTGAGAACAACTTGACATTTAAAAAAATCTTAATTCGCGCGACAACGAAAAGCTGCAAGATTTTTCGGATTTTCTGGAACGAAATTTTTTCTTTGTAAATTAATCTTAGACAGGGATTTGTAAAGGTCAAAACAAGTAAGTCCAAAATAAAACAACATTCAAGGTTTTGTAATGAGTTTGCTAACAATTGCATGCCGATGTTCAATTGCTCCTAATGTTTACATACCTTTGGAAAATAACGATCTACCATCTTTTTATTAATGCAGCATTTTTGAAAGAGATTTTCATTTGACATTTTCCAATAATTTTCTAAATGAATATCTTATTTTTAATTTCAAACGCACCTGATCATAATGTATGCCGTTAGCATCCAATTTTCCAATTTCATAATTATTTAAAACATCCTGACAGGACTTCACCGAACACTTTGTGAGCATTACCAATAAATCCCGTTTAACACCGCGTAAGCCTAAATATTATAAAATGAAAAAGCAGATAATATATTATATGATTAATGTACATACCATCGCTAAGCTGAGAAGCGTAAACTCGCAAATCTTTCGTTATTGCTCTCATCTTTAAGAGCTTATCTTTTAGGTTAGGCAGTTTTCTAAGAAAATCGGTAAGATAACCAACTGATATCGCCATTGATTTTTTTTCTAATTGCGTTATAATAAACTGAGAGGTTTCTATGATAAAAATAATTATTCAATTTTTCCCATTTTCGGAGAGAGATCTTTTTATTCTTAACGTACCTCTTAATATATTCTCAAGTTGATCAGATAGTTGGTTATAGTTATTAACTAATACATATTCCAGTTGTTCTGATGTAACTGAGAGAAATTTTTGCGTGTCGTTGCTGCCAATTCGCACAGTTGTAGTGCTTTCATCAATACCAAATTGCATGTAACTGTTCGTAGCGAAAGCCACTATAACGCCAAATCTATTCAAACGAGTAAGGGAGATATTTTGAATGCAAATAGAAAACGAGAGGGAATTACTTACAAAATGCCCGTGACTAAAATTATTAAAAGAAATCCCAGAAAAACTCGGCGACAAGTGTCATGTTTTTTGTCGAACGGTTCAGAGCGACCTCCGCAGGCACCGGCACAACGGCAGCAACAAAAGCATAAACTGTGATTAAAAGTGCAACGTTTCAAAAGGACATGTATTTTTTTTCTCTAACTAGTATTTTAAAATTACCCAATAACTGGCATCGAGACCACAAGCAGTCCCACAAAAATCGCAATAAGTAAGATAGGCCAATAATGCAATATTAAATCACCCCATTCGTTTCTTGCAACTTTTGGTCCCCATTGCACTCTTGAATCCTTAAACGTCAAATAACCTGGCATGGAAAATGAGAAGGTGAAGGCGATTACGTTTGAATCTGCAACAAATTTTTTATGCCTGCCTAAGCTAGCTATATATACGTGGTTTGAAGAGACAGACTGACATATTGATTTGATATAGTTTAGCCAGTATTTTAACCATGTTCAATTTAGTAAGTAATTGGAAATTCTTATATATAAAAATGAGAAAAAAGAAGACACAAATGTAATGGGACTCACAGGCGATTCAGTTCGCCAAAATATGGAGCTATGTTACTCATAAAAAACGATTTTGTTGTGATTCCTCGAAAGAAGTCTTTCAAACATTTTTATACCACTTAATCACTATCCGAGGTGGATAACTTATGGCTGCCAGTGTTTTCCCAGTTCATTAAGCAGTAGATACATGAAGTTTAGTATATTGACCACGTTATCAATAATGATGCTAATTTAGAGATTGATTAAAGTAAAGATTGAATGTTGTCAAACCCAACGCAAACCCAAACATATTATTTTGAACACAAATTACTGTAAGAGAAGTTAATATTTAAATTTAAATGTGATAGGTGTAACTATAATAAACTAGATTTTATTTGATTATTTTTATTTTGTGCCTCTTACCATTGGGTAAAGGATCCTCGCTGCCAATCAGGAACCACATAACTTTGTGTGTAATTTCATATAAGGGTTTCATACCACGTGCATTGTATTCGTTCGTACTTCGATAAGTTATATTTTTCGACCATTCCGAGTATTTTGTGGGTTTTAAATTTAATTCGTTGCCCATATCGAAGGCGTATGACGAAGATGATAATGAGCAAAGCACCAAAATTATCGCCGAGCTAATTCCTGGCATATACATATATTTGAACCACTTATGATTAACTTTGGCAACCATTTTTGAATATTTTGCTTTAGTCTTTTTCTATCGCAATCCGTCCAAAAAAGTAATTACCAATGTCCATAAATATATAGGACAGTCTTATGCACAGTTTCCTTTAAATTAATTACAATTATGCTTTTCATTTGTTAAGATTTAAGATAGCTCAAATTCTCGATTCTAGTCCAACACAAGCTGCAATTGCGATTTGAACATAGCTATCCCAAATAAAAGCGGGATTATTCTAACGATGAAAAATATAAATTAATTTTTAAGATTTCAGTTTTGTTGACTCTAAGTGTGTTAGTTAAAATCGATTGCACATCACATATATAAGTATACATATTTACTTAAATATAAACAAAAAATTACATGTATGTGCACTTAATGCACACATATAGTGCAGCATGTGCAAAGCATGAAGTATATCTTTCATGTTTTGAGTGAAACTTTCTCAAATGAGACCTTATCACGAACATAAAATCTCTCTTTAACATCTGAAAACAACGCGAGGGCTATTTAAATAATATAGCAACTGCGCAGTTGGGGGCTTTTTGTTGGCAGTGCAGCGGGAGCAATAGCAAGAACATAAAACTTTAGACCAATTGTGACGACATTTCGCATTGCTTTTGTTCAGCTCCCCTCCTCCACCATGTTTTTTTTTTTTTTTTTGAAAAGTGCGTGATATTACCACTACCAAGGTTATTATTATTTATATGGAAAACCAGAATAATACCGAAATGAAACACTATTCACGGTATTGCATTGAATGAAAATTGGATGGGGTCAGTTTACATTAGTCGTCTATATATACAAATCATCTAATACAAATTCAAAATTCTTTAGGTTACACTTGAGATATTGCTTACACTTGTTTCAATATGCCGTAATTTATACTTAACTGGGCAAATGATATTGTTAAGAAATGCGAATTCACGAACGGATTCATGATAAACTTTAAAAGAAACATTAATCCCCTATACTCTACAAATGAACGTAAGCTTCGACTAATCGCATTAATTCGCAAATGCAACGTTAACTTCCCATCTATTATGAAACTTAGCAATTGAAAAAATTTGGTTTGCCTGGGGTCAAAATTGCGTTTCCCACCAAAGTGAGTACATAAATATTTTAAATCGCCTTTCCAATTAAGGGAGCGTCTGAGAAGAGAGTAATTTATAACCAGACTTTCACTGATTTCTTTTATAAGTTATACAATAATTTTTGGCTGTTAGACGAATTTTAAAGCTTGGTCTGTGACTATCATCTACTAAAGACATATGTGCCAAACAAAAATTTCAAGAAAACACAATGGCTTGACATACAAATATCAATTTGGTGGCTCATAGCGATCAATATTACAGGCATATGTAAATTTTATGAGGTTTGCAGGTCGAGCTTGAGAATGTTGCGAATCGAATAACGTATCTAGTCCACCTGCATTATTCTTTGATGCGTATAGAAATATTTATTTGTATTATAAACATAATGTTTTAAATAAATATTATTCTAAAAAATCTGGAATTTCAAGAAATTAATAAGAAAGTAAATTAAAAATAATGTCGTACAACAATCGGAATGCACTTTAACACGTTTATATTGTCAAATTGTTTGGAAGCGAAACGTCTTAAGATATATATACAGATGTTCCATTCTATTGAAGTCTTTTATCTTAAACAATTTATTTCAAGAGAATTATTTGCAAAAATCTTTTGCTTAATGAATATGAATAGTGAGAACCAAATGGAAGCGCCCATACAAAAGAAAATTCCACGAATGAAAAGTTAAAGAAATGAATCAGCCAAGTTGCTCCTATTATTCGGCTTCATGTAGAATTACACAAATACGGATTTTTATTAACTTTGAAGCGAATATCTTATTGTAAACATATGTAAATAATTGTTTTTACTTAACTGAGCAGCCCCACTAATACGCTTTTGTTCAATTATTAGTAGAAAATCAGTTATTTGGAATTCGGGGCACTCATTCGTTGAGTCAATTTATAAAAGTTCCCAACTCTTCCAACAGACATTTTAGCGAAATTTCCAAAACAAAAGAAAACAAAAAAAACTATTCATCAATATGATGATCTGCTAGATGGTAACGCCGCAACAGAGTACAACAATTAAGACTCAATACTCACTGTCGCTCTTTAACAATAATCGCATTGTTGATTTATTCTCATATGAATATTTGTGTGTGTAGAAAACGCAGGACTATATAAATTCTTTTATAATTTAGATTGTTTAGAGTAAAAATTTGTTAGATAAAAGGTATGGTGCGCACAAATGCGTTGTGGCAGTAATAAAATCCGTGGCAATAAACCGACGCTCTGAGATTGAATTGCACATTGTTAATTATGGAAGAAGTTTCTCTGTTTTTCTCAACATTTTTTTAAATAATTTACTAAAGGCATACTTCTTTCAGTTAGGTGGGCATATAAAGATTACACATTGCGCTCGCTTCCAGTGCTTACTTGCATGGGTTGCAAGAGTAATGATAAAGTGCCCTGTAGATATTATAGCAATCGTATGCATATCTTGTCTTTATCGCATATATGAACAAGTGTATTCTTTGTAATTTTGTATGAACACAAAAGTGCAGCCAGCCACTCCAATTAAATTGTTTATCTTTTATTTCCATATAACTATAGTATACCTTTTTTATCAACTTCCTTTCACTTCATCAATCGATTAATTTACACACAAAGGCATTGTTATAATAATATAAATAGTCAGTACATCATATGGATATTGGTTTTATACAGCAGCTTGATTTCTTTACGTTGATTTTTGTTTCTGATTTACTTGCAATTTTTCTTTCTTATAAAAAAAAATTTCTCTTGAATTTGTTGCAGACGAAAAACACTATATGCAATATTTTTACACATCTATTTATGACACTCAAAAACACACCTCACAAAAACGACTAAATAAAAGACAACGCGAGATGGTAAACTAACGATAATTTTATCGGTACAGTTAGTGTTGAAAATTCGATTGCTATTGTTATGAGCATTTCTCACATGAAAATATTCGATTCGTTACTAAATTGTTAATGGGAGACAGTCTGCTTTTCATTAATGAGACTAGTAAAGAATTTAAGATTTGCATTGAAAAATATGTACCAATTCGCCCTTGTTTCCTATGATCAAATACAACAATTTTTATGCAAGGATTTCGCAAGTTTTTAAAAAATTCCGCAAAGCATAAGCCGAGTTTCCTCTGCAATTTATAATTGTATATATAAACGTATTCTGCAACTTATAAATGTTTGTATAAATGCCCTACGCAATCTTTAATTCTACTTATAAGTATAATTGAGATTGATGCTCCATGAAGACAGTAATCATTTTCACCGCAACTATAAATAGTAATTATCAATGCAATGTAGGAATGTAACTAAACAGTACAGTGTGGGAACAGAACATATAAGTACGTATATAATTTGTTATTTACAAGGCCCTGATAGCTATTTTAGACCAATTTGGGCTAACGATTGCTTTTATATTGGTTGATACCGACTTCGATAGCTTTATGACGTTAACGAAGAATAGTCTTGATGTTATTATTCAATATTTGGTATAGTTAATTTTTTGTATTTTACATTACAATTATGACCTGATTTTCATCGTAAAGCATTAAATGTTGGATCTTTTTGTTACATGAACCCCAGTTTTTCTTATATGAGAGTGTTCACACCAAGTTAGAATGCCGAAATATTATTACTTAGCCATATTTGTCAAGAAATTTTGAAAATTCTAATTTGTTTGCATATAGGGAGTGATCGAATAAGTGAACCAAGCAAAACCATTTTCATTAGCGTTCGTCCTTGGGTCAAAACACGCCAGTGCACCAACTTTCATCAAAATACCTAAAAAAAAAGCGACTTGTGGCTTAAATACAAATTTGCATGAGCAGACATCGGCCGGACAGAGCAACGAACAGGCTTAGATCAACTCAGATTATGATTCCAAATCGGACGGCATCATAAAAAGTACGTCTATCTTAAACCATTCTGGATGTTACATACGTCTGCACTAACTTAATATATCCCGTCTCACAATTGGTATAGGGTATAATTAATTGGACATAATATGAACTACATGGGTCCATCTCTTGGACTCACTCCATATAAGATATCTCTTGAGCGGTAAGCCCTTCGCAAAAAGGTGGACTTTTTAATAGTTTATGATGAAAATTAATGCATAGCAGCGTTTCCGGCCAAAAAAAAAAAAAATAAACGGTAGCAAACTTGGATATATAGACGCTATCACGAAACGTCAACTCTTACATAGGAAAAAAATCGAGCCTTCCATTGTGCATAACAATATGTACTTTTTTGTGCGATATTAACAAAACGAGGGAATAGCTGTACTACCCAAAATGGTGCATGGCATATAATAGTCGGCGTTGCCGCACTATAATGTTCTTACTTGTTTTGTACAAAGGAAAATAAGTAACAGAAGAAGAAGAATTACATGCATTTTTTTTTTTAAAGACATCATGCATACAATTTGTAATGACCCGGTTCAATTTCGCCTTGAGAAATCAGCTCTTGAGAGCACCTCTGAAAAAGAGAAAATTGTCCAAATATTTTTACTATTAGGGCATTTATATACATATATAAAAATTATATGCTTTTTTGTAGACAACATATTTAACAAGTTTGAGAACGAATTGTTTTAATAGTTATTGGTCACGTTTGAATTGTTGAGTGTATGTACATATATAGAATATGGAGCCGATCGGTTTTACCTTGCCTGGCCTTAACCGGTGTCGTGAGTAACAAAATTGCCTGAAATTAGCCCAATTACGAATTATTAATATCGATCGGTTAATGCGATCACGTGACACCGTCTATTCTTCGTGTGTGAATCGCATCGACGCGGACTGTATAAGAAACCTGAAGAACGATTCTCATAGCAAAGGCGTTCAGCATCATTTAAAATAAACTATGCTGGACTTAATGTGCATGTAAACGTGTATGTAATTAGTATACCATTTAATCATTTTCAGCCAATAGAAACACACACATTCTCTTTTTACACAAATTTTTGAAAAACGAAATTCAATTTAACACGATTTAAAAAGAAACAATATTCCTCTTTTTACGCGAATCGTTTTGTTTTAACACAAATTTCAATAATTTACGAATTTTTTTTACAAAATTTTTTAACGCATTTTTTTTAATGAATTTTTTTTTTTTTTTTGATGTTCCCCGAATTTTTTCATTCACGTTCTATTTTTCATAATTCAGTTAGATTATGTCGATTACATGCGTATATGAGTGGAATTCCCCGGATTACGCATAGAGTAATAATAATAATAATATATTATATAATAATTTATTTTTTATAATATATTCAATGAATTAAAATGTGTAAACACGAAATAAATTGTTAATAGAACTTTAGTCAGTAGTTTGTAATATTGTTTATTGTGCTTTTCAGTTGACTTTTTAGATTTGGAACCAATCTACAATTTTCCCATTCAGCCAACATCTTCTTTTACAGAAATCTTTTAGAAACGTATCTATCGTGTAAAAAAAGAATTAGATGTACTTCCTATTTATTTATTTTTTCAACCTACTTGTATTATCATTTTTATATTTATAAAAATTTTTATTTTATTTTACATATGCATTTTAATAAAATTATGTATTTATATGTAGACGGATGTTGTTGTTGCCACTATTGTGGCTTTTGTTTTTTTTTTTTTTTTTGCTTTGCAGATTGTAGTAAGCATTAAAAAAAGCATTTAAAATTAAGGAGAATGCAAAAGAATTTTAATAAGGCTGGTCAGGGAACGGATACTTTATAAAAAGGAAGACATGAATTTAGTCAATGTCTTTTCTTTGATTTATTATTATTATTATCTTCTTGTTTTTGTTGTTGGAATTTAAAAATTTATTCATTATAATCTCTATCGCAGTGCAGTTTTCCAGTTATTGATTAGCGGCCCCGATTGCCTTACGTGCAAGAATTGTTAAACTAAGATACGTCTTAAAAGTCGCCATCAAATTTTCAAAGTTAATGTTGATCTACTTTTGTTGCTCTGGTTCGTTTGTATTTTTGTGTTTATTTTTAATTTTTTTTATTTATATATTTACATATCGGGCTTAACCCTTCATTACAAGGTTGTTTGAAAATCGAAAATGACATGGAATGGCTACGATAGCAGGCCCAACAAAAGTTCAAGAATTAACCGCTTTGGCAAGTTCATCTAACACACTAAAAAGAGGGAAAACATAGGAAACCAGAATATACATTGAGTATATATGTAAATTTATCCATAGAATGCACAATACCCACCTACTACAATTAAGCAAATTGCTGATATATCGGCAATAACTTAAACGTGCGCTGATCTTAGGCAGCTAGTACATCAAATCAACGAACTTAGTGCGTCGGCTTGTCGTTGGAAATTACATTTCAAAGTCCAAAAAAGAAAATCCCATTATTTGTAGCGCAATCACTTTATCATATGTTTGAGGCAATCATTTCATCATTAAAACTTTTAATCAAAATTGATCAACAATAGCTAGTACTAAAGCAGTGTGCTGTTGACTTAAAAGTCTATCTGGATGGAATTACGATTACGTTAATCCTCAAATTTTCATATGTTTATATATATTCAAATTTTTCCTATATAATAAGATCCCGATTTATGCCGTGCCTTTCTTTAGGTCGATCTTTTTCTTTCTCCTCTTTTGCACTTAAGAGTCTGATCTGCTTTGCTTCGACAATAAACATATCCATACAGATATCTATGAAAAGAGGCTGATTGTCCTTGGAACTCAAAGTCTATTCTTATTTTATTATTTTATTTAATAGTAGACAATATTTCAAAAATGTTTGCCCGCAATTTCCTGTCAGTCGGAATAAAAATCCAGGAGAGAGAGAGAGAGAGAGAGAGAGTGTTCGAAAATTTCTACTCCTAATTTATATACAATTATTGCTTCAAATTTTAATCGTTCTATTTTAAAATTCAATTCTTTAAATCGGTGGGTTCGCTGATTCCTTAGATATGATTGCATCCCTCTTACGGGAATATCGCATACATCTTCTGGATAGAATTAACATTTTTTTTTTTTTTGCTTGATCACAGCTTTACTTTACAAGGCAGTACACGGTATAAAAAAAAGCAAAAAGTGGTGCTTTTTGGCATACAACTCTGTCAAAAGTTCAAATATATACTCAGCTACTAACAGGAAATATTTCGTATTTTAATTTCAAATAATGCTATAACGAGTTATTCTTACCGCCTCAAGAATACTTTATTCCAAAAGGTTTCAATATCTAAATGTTTAAAACTTTTGAATGAAAATTCTATAAAATGTTGTATATATGTTCCTCGTTTATATACTTTAACAAGATCAAGTAAAATAATTTTTTTTATTATATTAAAAAACATTCTTGAATGTTATTATTATGTTTGAATATGTTTAATGTGTTCCTCAGTAGACGAACGATGGATACCGAGTTCCTTAGCAATCACAAAGTGGTTAGAGAGATGTTAACCGCCAAATTGCCATGATCGGCCAGATCGACAATCTTCTTTGAGATTGACTTCTTCGCAACGAAATTCGTAAACAGTCTTTGGCAGCAACGGGTCACAGGAGTTTTTAGAAGCAATCGATACCTTGCTTTCTTTACATGCACTTTACCCATTGCCCTTCGTAACTAACTGATGGCAGGATGTATTGAAAGCAGTCCTCTTATGCTCCACAAACAGGGGCACTAGAAAACAAAAGACCCAGCATAACACATTCTACCGGCTTGACTTCATCTGATAGGTAGAATTACCAGTAGGTATGATAAAACTTTTCCGTTAATGCAACAGCATTAGTGCGAAATCCTGTTCTGTGAGTGAGGAATCCTATTCTTAATAGATTGACATTGGTCCGGGGCGAATAAACCAAGTGATATGAAGCGCTTTCGCTGTGCTTGCCAATAAACGTTTTTTGTCAAGTATATGGCTCTCCCGGATATTATCAATAATTTCGATAAACACTGTTGAAAGAGTAGCAGAATGTTCGTTTTTTGATATCGCATCACAAACATAAACATTGAATAATTACCTTCTGAATACCATGAACATGGCTGCAAACGAAAGAAGGAAAATTTTAAAATTCATTCATCTATAAAAATTTTTTACTTTAGTAATTAAGCATTTCACTTAAAAAAATCAAAGAACGTATCAAAGTTTTGACGAAGCACGATTTATAACGATTGCAAATAAAAAAAGACTTACGTTCAACATGCAGACAACGAGCGCAAGTAGTTTATTTAACACGACTATTGGCAAATGTGAAAAAATAAAGTTTGAGTTAAATTCAGTATAGCTCTCTTTGAAATGAAAATATAATAATAAACCGTCCACCTGTTATTGAAATGAAATGGAAATTCTCTCTAATTGAATTACTTTTAATTATTGAATTAATTTTCAAATTTGAATATGTATTTAGTTTAGTTTCAATTTTTTTTTTGTTTTGTTTTGTTGTTGTTTTGCTTATTTTGTTGTTAAATGAATGTTTGTTTTTTGTTGTTAAATGAAAATTAAAAATGTTATGTTTTTCGCCTTATTTTATTTTTTGCCTCCATTTTATTTTTTGTTTTCTGTTGTGTATTAATTTATGTAATTTATGTTTAAATATAAATGAAATAAATAGCTTTATTTATACATTTAAAATATTTTATTAATATGTATAAAAATATATATAAATAAATAGAATAAATTGTTATTCTTTTTAATGGTTGTGATGGTTTTCTGATTGTTTCCGATTCTTCTTCCTTGAGTTGATCGCTTTTGCGCATCTTTCATTTTGTTTGTAACAACCCAACAAACACATATATGCAACAGACTATTTGAAAATATGTCCCATCTATGAGAATAGCATCCACTATCGAGTCTTACTAAGGGCAGCTTAGCTTAATTCATCATATATCATCATTTTTGCTTCACGTTTTTAAATAGGGCAAATAGACGCAAAATTAATTATTTGATTATTTATTAAAAGTTGATATATATATATATATATATCCATAATATAAAAACGCTTAGGTAGGGCATTAACGTTTCGCTTTCAAAACAAATCTCATATTCTCACAGTTAAGCAATACTGAGAAGCTTAACAGGCAGCCGGAAATTTTTTAATGCTTAAAGCTTAAAGCTGTCCCTTATCGAGAGAGTAAAATGCGTGAGAGAGTAAAAAAGCGTTTTACACTGACTAACGCTGTTTTATTTCTCTGTTTTGTTTGTTTTTGTTCATGATAAACAGAAAAAAATCTCATTTCTAATATGAAAGGTCACTATAGAGAAACTATGAAAATTTCTCCTCGAGAAAATAAATAAAATGAATTCTTTCCTTTTTTTTTAACAATATTTTTCAAGTCTTCCATCACTTTTGCATGATTTGTGTCTAAAATTTCCCTCGGTTTGTGTCCGAAATTTGATATGTTACCATAACATAGGTATGGGAGAACACCTATATTTGACACTCTAATGCGGCCAAACTAGAAAATGTCGCCTGTATTTACCTATATCACGTGAATCTATATAAAAGTACCTATCGAATGGGCAAAAAAAAATTCACACTTTGCTTTCAGGAACTATTTTTACCGATTTTTTTGGAAATTGTACAACAATTGTACAAGATCTGACCACATTTGCCTGCAAGGGCCTATGCACTTAGCTTATAAGTAAAATTTCTTGACGTAAAAATCAAAAAAATAATTTAATATTTGACAATTGAGAAAAATATTTTCTTCAAGGAAAAAAAGAAAAAGAAGAAGAAAATTGTCAAATATTTCGCATTGTGAGTTATCTCCGAGAAGAGAAATAAATCTGATTGATTATCATTTAAACTCTAGCAGCCAAAAGGAAAAGTTGGAAAAGAATTCTGCAAAATCAGCTCAATAGGTCCACATTAAAGAGCAGAAGATTCAGTAGCTAAAACAAACGACAAAGGCAACGTGAAACATCATCGAAAAGAGCAACGAAGGACACCAGTTCAGTATCTTGCGCGAATAGAAATAATACTAAAATCTCAATGACAGCTAAAATAGCGAACCAAAAACAAATTAATATTATATTGCAAAAATTGAGTCGGAACGATGATATCACGGATGACGAACATGCTCTTCAAAAAAAAAAAGGGAATTGCGAGCATCAGCTAATGGTTCATCGACTTTGTTAGTAAAGTCTGAAAATAGAATTACGGAAGAGGAACAAGCTCCGTATTGTACGAAGGAAGTTAATCTAAACGAAGTAAACGGGGAACGCCCTGCCCTTGAAACGAAATTAGGTCAATTACACATTCGATCAGTCTGAATGGGATTGCTGCCATTGCTCCATTTCCTGTTTACGCAAATCTTGTTCTTTATCAAATTGTTTTTGTATTTTTGCTTGTAGAGTCTGCAACAGTGTTCTGCTTTCGACTACGCGTTCATTTCGAATTTGTAATTCGGCTATTACCAATTGTTGCTGGCGTTTCCATTTGCTCAATGGGGTTTCAGTTGACTTTCGCAGTGAGTTATCTAAACATATACACTTATTATTAATGTTAGTTGTTATTTTTGTTGCAGCAGGCGTTCCAATATATCTACTATCGTCTCGGCTAAAGCCGGCACTATAAAGCGGTACTTGCTTCTTAACCTGGTTATTGCTTTCTAGAACTTTGAGTAAGTCCTTCACCGATAACCGAGACATTTGTTTAGAAGAACACATTACCTGGCTGCACCTAGATGCTATTTCCTGTTATTGGGACGTACATAAAATAAATTCATGTTTTTCAGATTGTTGTTCTCTTCCAACTTTTTATTATCTAATACAAGTTGTTTTTGTAATTCTACAATTTGCTGTTCAAGCTTGTATATCTTCTCTTCCAACTTTTTATTATCTAATACTAATTTTCTAGTTTGGCCGCACTAGAGTGTCAAATTAGGGTGTTCTCCCATAGCTATGTTATGGTAACATACCAAATTTCAAATACCGTTAAAAATAGTTCCCATAAGCAGAATTTGAATTTGTTTAGTTTGTTTGAGAGGTAGTTTTATATGGATTCATGAAATATCCACAAAAATATTTCTTTTTTTTTTAATATGGACGGACTAGGCTTTCAAACCAACTATATCTCAATTGTAATTATTTAACATGAGCTCTGTTAAGTCTTTAACTGAGGTATGTTAACAGAAGTGGTAGGTGTCTTTACTAGTTAAATTCGAATTTATCTTCACACCCTTCTTTTCGTGTGATATTAATTTTATTGAATCTTGATCCTACACTTTTTGTACTCAATATCTAAGTAAGCGACAGTAATTTTATTATAAATATTTCGTTGTTCATCACAGTTTGCCTCATTTTGCTTAATTTTGCCTCCCAAAGTACACATTTGGAATATGGATGACAAACTTGTTTTGGACTTGATGGTTTTTCCTTTCTTTTTCTTCAATTTACCAATGACTGCACTCCGCAATGATTATTGCATTTCCAAAAAAACTTGCAAGATAGTCTTTAGCAGCCTTTCAATTTTTTTAATGCGTTCAAAATACTTTTTGATAATCGAGGAGTTTTTATTACTTTCTCTAACATTTTGAAATTTCCATCATCGCGGACAATGGATGGTCTTCGTATGTCCATTAATTGTACCAATTGTGTCGTTATGTCGTTATGTCATAACAATATTTTAATGCATTTGCCCTTTAATATGTGAGTGAAAGAGTTTTTTTGGTAGCTATTAAAAAACATTTTCATTTGTTAACAACAAATATCAAATCACTCATTACACTCTATATAGATTGTTCTTCATCGGCAGATATAAGCCTAAAATAGAAAATTAACGACATCCATAGAGCGACGCCCAGATCGCTTTTGTGAATGGCTTGAAGAAAATAAATAATTATTTTATATCTCAGTACTAAGCCAGGTCAAGCAGGTGAGAAATTCAAAATAATTTTGAAAATAGCGCAATTTTTTAATTCTTCTCTTGCAGGGTTTTTTTTTTTTAATTTTTATAATTTTGTCTCTTGTTTTTTTTCTTTTTATTTCATAATATGATTACAATTTAGTACAATTTTCTCTTTGCAATTTTATTTTAGTTTATTTTATTTGTTTATTTTTTTCTTTTCTTATTTTTTTTTTTTTGTATAATCAATTTGCATTTGTTCATTTTCATTTAATATTTAATAATTAACCATTTAATTGTATTCAATTTTAATTTTAATATTTCAATGACAATACATTATAATTATGTTTTGCATTTTAGTAAAAGAAAATTGTTCACCTTTTGCAAATAGGAAAATTTCTTTGAAAAAAAAAAAAAAAAGATTCAAAAAAACAAAAAACTAACAATAAATAAATAAAATGTAAACTAATGGCTTTAATTAATTTTAAACAAGTAAAAAATATATATAAGTTTTTTATTTTTTGTTTTTTATTTTTTTTATTTATTTATTTATTTTTTTTTTTTTTTGCTTAAGGGAAACAAGGTGCGAAAGCAACCAATGATGTTACATTTCATTGTAAAATGTAAAGTACTCAGTCAATGAGGGTTAGTGCAAAATTTCAAGTTGAAGAGGTGGGTTTTTTCTTTTATTACAGTTGTTACGGAAATTTTCTTTGAGCCCAGGCAACAGAAGAGCTAGAAAACTTTCCTAGACTATATATGTATATATTCATATACATATCACATTTCATATATATATTTTTATATATATCTAATTAGTTAGCAGATACAGCTGTTCTTGTAGTCGTTTTATTGATTTTATATTGCTTTGCTTTGATTGCGCTTCTTTTAAGGTAACCATTTGAGAGAGAAAAGAAACAAAAGTCAATTAAATCTCTTGTGAAAAAAAAGCATTTCAATGTCAGTAAATATCATGACTTATGTAAAACGCATTGGAAACTAGAAAAATTCAAGACAATAATAAAACAAGTAAAAAAGTTTTATTCGGCCGGGGCCGAATCTCGCATACCTACCACCACTATGTCTTTCGCATTCTATTCGTCAAGTTCTGCTATTTGATACCCATATCGCTGGTATTATCAAAAAAAAAAAAAAAAAATTAATTAATATTCATTTCAAAATTAACCTATTTTTACGCAGATAACATATTTGCATTTAAATTTAATCACTTGTAACTTTACGTGGGCGTGGCGGATGTTTTCTTTACTCTGACTAATCCGACCCAATTTCAGTACCAACCTGCGCGGAAAAACTTCCAATATTTCTATCAATTTTGAAGTCGATATCTTCATTTTTGAGACTAAAAGAGTGTCGACAACAAACACCGCACGCGCACACAGACGGACACACATGGCTTAATCAATTCAAAATTTCAAGCTGATCTGCAATATACATACTTTATAGGGTCTCTGAAGCTTCCTTTCCTGGGTGTTGCATACATTAAGGGGAAAAAAAACGCAAAATGACTATACCCCCATCTTACAGTGGTGGGTATAAAAGGAAGCAATGTGAAATAAATTTTTGAACAAAATTTACAAAATTTATACATAAAAGTATTTTATAATTTTTTTTTTTTTTTTTTTTTTTTTTTGTTCTGTTCAAAACGAACTAATCCAGAGTCTTCGTTTGGATTTGATTTGCTTTGTAGTTCAATTTTATTTCCTTTCACTGTTATATGCTTATGCAATTCTATAGTACACATACAAACATTGTTATAAGTTAAAATTTCCTCTTAATTTTTTTTTTTTTTTTTTTTCTAAATATGTGTTTTTTTTTTTTATGTATGCTTGTAAGTATGTTTACACGTATAAGTACGATAAATAAGTACAATTAGATGTTGATGCTTTTTGTTTTTACCTGACTTATGCTATCTTAATCTGTCAACAGTAACTATCCTTGCGTTTATTATAAAACAATCAGGGAAAGTAAGAACATAATACCAGCACTTAGTAAAGCCGTAACGGGTACTGTTACTATCCAGGCATAAGCTATATTTCTAAATAGATGCCAATCGACGCTGCCTTTTTCAATTGGTTTCTCCTGATCAATATTTTCGATTGTTTGAGAATCCTTTGTCGACGACGTTGTATTATTGGTGATCAGAAGTTTATTTTTTTTATTCGAGCATTTTGCACTAATGTGACCCACAAAGACAACTGAACCGACTTTACAATGCGTAGTCGAAATGGGCAAACCAATTTTGCTGGCCAGCAGTACAGTTATAGCAGCACCAATTTCAATGGTAAAACCGCTAAAATATATAAACACATACACATACATATATATATATATACGTCTATAGGCATTTATATATATAAAAAGTTTTTTTTTTTTTTTTTTTTTTTTAATGCTTACGTTGATGAGGTAATTTTGGTTAAATCATTGCCTATGGTTTCAATAACTCTACGACCCCAAAGCCATAGACCAATTGAAATGCCAATGCCACCATATATTAAAATATATATGGGACTCTCGGCTTTTTGCATCACAGAACCTTCGCGATAAATCATATATAAAGCAATTAAGGGACCGATAGCATTGCTAAATAGAACATAATCAATTTTAAGTTAATTTTTATGAATTATTATAATTTTCTTTTTTGAATGTATACCTGACGTCGTTGCCACCATGAGCAAAGCTGCCAAATGTTGCTGTTAGTACTTGCAGAAATGAAAACAACATGGAAACCTCTTCATTTTTCTCCTCGATCTCCATTTGGTTATTGGTCTTATAGCCGTTAATACTCTCCTCCTTGCTCTCGATTAAAGGAACTTTACTTGAATTTGAAGATATCATCATTTCCAAACTAGAGACACTCTCCACAGCTTTGAGGCTTTTTTGGTTAGTAGTGGAAACTTTATCACATTCATCTTTAGTAATTTCTTTACCGGCAGTATTATCTTTGGTAGTGATGTTATTATTTACGGCGACGGCGACGGCGACGGAAGCGGCGACGGTGGCGACGTTAGGTAAGTCAACATTTTTTGCTAAATTTTTCTCCATCTGCGGCGATTGCATTTGAGGTTTAAAACATTCTTCTAAAGTTCTTATACCATTCTGTTTACGTATGCCATTCGAATAACCGTTTAAAGCATGGCCACCGCCGCAATTGACATTGCTACCATTACCATTTTGATGTTCATCGATAAAATTTAAACTAGTTACCGTTAGATCGGTATTATCCAAACTGGCTTTACCCAGTAAATCCTCAGCCTTTTTAATAATATCCGGATTGATTTTATAACTGTCCGGTGTTAAGCCATTTTGCTTGCCATTAAAAGCAAATGAGGCTAGTTTAAACGTTTTCGGTGAATCAGCAGATAACGAGACCAGCTCAGTAATCTCAGCTATGGCAGGCAATTGTTTACCATCACTAACCAATGACAATGGTCGACGATTCTTCTTGGGACTACCGGACGGTGAAGATTCTGCAAACACTTATCATTAACAAATATTTTTATAATTTTATAAATTAAAAATAATATAACAATAAATAACTAAATAAATAAACTTTTAAAGATCCACCATATAAATACTATCTATCTACTAGCGGCGATATGACTTATAGAAAAATGACTTACTTACCTATGGAATCTTCGAATTGAAATTTAACTGGATTTTTAGCACTCAATTTTTTTGCAATTTTACGCTTCTGCCAAGGTACAATAATCAGTTGAGTTAAAATGGCTACAAATAAACCCAAAAGTAAACTAGCACTCACAGCCAACCATGTGGGTATATTATCCATGTAAAGTACTGCAAAAAGTTTCAATTCATATATGATAATGTGTTTCGGGTGGATAAATGCGTAATTCAAATGCTTACATTTAGGACCATCCAACATGACACTAATAACATTTATAAAAAATGTGACCCCATAGAATATTGGCAAGGAGCGTAGGCCAAATTTTAGGGGATTAGAGGTGTGTAGAATAAATTTTCTTATAGCTAAGAAGAGCAAAATGCTAACTAAACCACTAAGTACGGGTGATATGAACCAAGAGCCCACAATAGTGCCCATAGTTGACCATTTTAGACCTTGAGTGCCCCTCGCTACCAAAGAGAATCCGATAGTTGATCCGACGATGCTATGCGTGCCCGATATGGGCAATTTGAGAAAAGTCGCTGCCAATAACCAAATAGCACTGCTAGCCAAAGCTGCCATACAACCTAACATAAGTTCTCCCTCGTGGCCCTCATAAAGACCAACTTCCAAAATACCTTTACGCATGGTATCGGACACTTTATAACCTAAAAAGAAAACCATAAAAACATAATAGAATTTAAAATTAAAATTTTTTTTTTTTTTTTTTTCAGTTATTAATGACTTACAAGCAGTAGAAAAGTGGCTTTTTATTTTACTTACCAATTAGAACAGCGCCCGAAATCTCGCAAATTGTAGCCAAGACGCAGGCCTGACGTATGGTTAAAACGCCAGAGCCTACACTGGTGCCAAATGAATTGGCTACATCGTTGGCACCTATTCCAAATGCCAAGACAAATGCTATGATAAAGCCCACAATAACCAACCATAGCAATTCCGTTGAATAAGGCTCCATCTTTGATGATTTTCTCAACAATTCAACTCTTCTAAGGAACTCTAACACTATACACTAACTAACATAAAAAAAAAATTTCTGATAATTATGGAATTATAGATTCTAATATGAGTTTGTGACAAAAACAAATTTGGAATTATCCGAAGTGTTACAATTACAGAAAAAGAAGAAGAACAATTCGAAATTCGAAATATTTTAACGAAGAATCACCTCTCTCAGGATTAAAACTTATATATATATATATATATGTGTGTGTGTGTGTATTTCTCTTAGTTTATAAGAAAAACAAACGAAAAAAAAAAGAAAAATGAAAGCAAAAAGAATAAAAACCAAACAAACTAGAAAATTGGAAATATTTTGGGATAAATTAATACAACAAAAAAAAATAAATAAATAAATAAATAAAGAGTGTTGTATGTATTTTAAGGGGACTTAAAAAATTAATGTATTATTATAATTATTAAGGTTGTTGGTGTTTTTCAAATATTCAAACAGCCATATTTGCGTTTAAACTTCATCTTTGGAATTTTCATTTTTGTGGTTTCACTAATTACAACGAAAATCGCCGATTATGTAACTCGAAACAAAAATTAATGCTTGACTACAAAGCTTTAATAGCTTCAATTATTATTAAATGATCGATTTCGTGACGAATCAACAAAAAAAAAAAAAAAGGAAAAAAAGTAAAAAAATATAGTAAACAAATTGGAGGTTTTTAAAACCTAATTACTTGGCGGCCTCTATCCACACCGAAAATGGAGTCTAACTTATAGTATAGCTATGAAATAAATTAAGGCTAACTAATGGAGCTTCTTTCTATTGATTTTACAATTTAATTATGACCCTGCACAATTTCCGACAATGTTTAATTCTTTTATATACTATTTTAATTTATTTGTTGTTTTTGTTGTTCTAAATTCCTAAGAGCTTTATGTATTGGCAATATTTTGTTCTGTTTTGAGTTTTTTTTTTTTTTTTCAAGAAATTTTCCGTTTCCTTTAATAAATTTTCTGTTATGTTGAGTAGAATGTTGTTTTTGTTGTTATTGTTGATATTGATACAATCTAGAAATTTACGAAAGAAAAAAGTTTGAAAATGTATTCTTCAGGATATGTTTTTTTTTTTTTTTTTTTTTTTTTTTTTTTTTTTTTTTTTTTTTTTGCAAATATTCTTACCTGACCGTTACGAAGGCATAACTGTTTTGTTAAAATCGAAAAGAGTAATAACATGTCTGCAAATACAATAAGAAACGAAACATTATTATGAAGAAATGCAAAATGGTAAATTTTTAAGAAGAGTGTCGCAAAAAAAAAAATTCTGATATTTTCTTCTTGCTAAACTCCCACCACCCCCTCTACATCATACTTCTTTATTTATTTTGACATTAAAATACCAACAATTGCAACTTTTTTCAATTCAAGCACAAACGGAGCATACAATTTATTACAATAAGCACAAGTTTGTTACATTTCTTGCTACAATTTCATATATGGATGCTTCATTTGCCAAATCGCTTAACTACATTTTTGAAATTTTATTACATTTTATTTAATATCAAAGCACTTCATTAGCTCGTAACTGTACATAGTTAAAATGAATTTCTCTAATAATATGTATTAACGTCACTAAATAACAAAATCGTTTTGGCCATTAAATAATAAATAATTTATTTATAATATTTTATCATTTTTCTCAACTTCTTTTTTTGATGGAGTTAATCGATTCGGCAAGTGAAGCAGCCATATATCACAATAGTATCTCAACTTATAAATGTAATATGAACTAAACACAAAATTTGAAAAAGCTTGAAACTCGAGGCAATGTCAATTAATATCTTTTCGTCAGCAAAACAATAAATTATAAGGAAAACAACAAACAATAAATTATAAAGAAAATTGTAATAGTTAATTATCTGTGAAAATGATTGCAACCGAATTATATCCATAATTAAAAACAAACAAAAACACTATAGTGAATCAAAGCTCCCATTGCATGGCTTGCATCACCCTACAATTATCCATATATTGGTGTTTCACAATAAAACGTTACATAGGTAAATGGTTGAAAAAGTGGTCCGATCGAAATCATTTTCAATAGTGTTTGTCCTTGGGCCAAAGCACGTCAGTATGTCAAAAAAAAAAAAAAAAACATTTTTCGGCCTATAGCTTGAACAGAAAAAAATAAGACAGACAGACAGACAGACAGACAGACAAACGAACAAGCTTAGTTCAATGCAGCAAGTGATTCTAAATCGATCTCTATAATAAAAGGTGGGTCTATCTTAAACCCTTCTTAATACCCTTCTTATACACTTAATACACTTAATACACTTAATATACCTTGCGTCACAAGTAAAATAATGTGAAAAATTATACATTTGAGATGTGCGGTGAATAGGTATCCAAGATACGACCTAAGTAGAGCAAAAGTTTCTTGTTTTCCTTGTTTATCAATTTATCAATTCAATGACTTTGTAAATGAATGAATTTATCAGAATTTATTCAAATAATTTTTAAACAAATCAACAAACATTCTTGCCTTCATGTTGTACCTCTATGAGATGCTGTACAATGTCTTTTGCTTATTTGAAATAACTGATGATGTCATTTCGGAAAAACAAATAAAATTATCTTAAATAAACAGGAAATTCGTTGTAATGGAAGAATAACAATCACAATATAGAATAAAATCGGTTTTATTAAGAAAGGAAAGGAGGGGAGGACGAATATAACTTTTTCTATTTACTTAATTTATTATTTAGTTATTTAATTTATTTATTATCTAAGCAATCTACTTAAAGCTTTTTTTTTCGAATTAGGTTCACCGGTAGAAAGGATTTTTAAAGATTTTCAATGATTTTTTCGTTCCGCTTAAAATCCACTGATATATGAATAAACCTGGTCTAATCTCTGGAGAGCAATTTTTTTGCTCGCCTTCAAAATCTGCCTTTGTGACGTAGTGCCTGACAGTCTCGCAAAAGAAGAGAGTGCTAGAATTGTTTATAGGAAGTAAGTGTAGTACGCAGGTTACACGAGAATGGCAAATCGTGCATGTCGCTGGAATACTCCCGCCTCCAGTTCCCATAACACAAAACGAAATATACATCATTTATCTAAAGATGTCACCAGCAGGTTACACAAGATTCGCATTATCTATATTATCTACAGGAATGAATATAAAATAAGAATCGATCGTTTATCGATTTTAGCATTTAAGGTGAGGGGTGGTGGTGTTCGGATCATCTGCCACACATTAAATCACCGGAACTTTATTCTAGTTTTACTTAAAAATCCCAGAAACGCTAGCAATTCCCCTTATTATCGCATAATATAGATTGAATGGTTGGATCAGTGCGCATGGAGCGCCACCAGTGGAAAAATTTGAATTGAACAACAATTTTCCGAAACAGTTGCGCTTATCTCATTTGGATTTCTAGTGGACGCCTCCATCAAAACGAATTAAAAAAAATGACATCAAACAGAATATTTCAGTAAACAAATTGCAAACGATCAATGAGACTTAAGTACGCGACAAACAACGAAGCGACATTTGAAGTGGTTATAGTTTTTATGTTTTGGAATCAAGATGAAACGATGCATAGCGATATCTTGAAGACCCAATTGAATCGTCTAGACAAACAAGAAAAAAACTTCTTATTAGTGATTGTATTAAAAAATTTCGAGAATTGTTTATAATGGGAGTCTTCCATTTATCCTTAAAAGCAACTTGATGGTATTAAAATGATTCGATTTTCAAAAACCGTGGGGTTTCAAACGTCCAACGCCAAAAACAATTTTTCAAAATCAAAAAAATTGCCAACATTTCAAGGCCTTTTCGTTCTTTGCCTTAAAAAAAAATAAAAATATGGATCATCTAATAAATAGAAAATTAATTGCAAAATTTTTTGATCTTTTCGCTCGAGCAAAGAAAAAAAACGTTAGTACGCACCCGCCTCCATCACACCTGTCACCACACTGTTATACGCATTTCGATGAAATTACTACTTTTCGTAATAAATAATATCAGAAGCATATGTAAATCTCTTGTCCCCGTAGTCAAAGTCCGGGGGAAAAAAACGATTTTTTACTTGATTCGAAATTTATGCGAGAATAGCTTCGACTTTTCTCTCAATTCTTCGCCGAAATTCTGCTGAGAAATAGCTTCTTTTCTTTTTTTACAAAAAAATTGACATCGAAACTTTATATACTTTTTCATAGAAAATCTGAGTCCAATTTTCATATATTCATTACAGAAATAATTACATTGCAGGAGATCGGCACTGGCAATCGGCTGCAAATGTCGACTGAAATCGCGATTGAATATCGACTCTTGTCTATAACATATTTCAGCGAAAATTAATAAATATTTTAGCGAAACTATTTCTACTTTCTTATACCATTTGCCATTTGGATTTTAAGTTACATTTACGAGCTTATTGTGGTTGGACGGCGCCATTCCTCAAACCAAATTTCCATTTCCATTTTTGCGATGGACAGACAGACTGACTAATATACGGATAGATAGATTTACTTAAAATAATGCAAAATCTTGCGGCGAACAAGAATATATATATTTATATAGATATATATATACATATAGGCCTTTTGGGGGACTTCAATATTACAAACGGACGAAAAAATCTAGCATACCTTACTGGTGATGGATACTAAAATAGGACAAGAATGTCGATTCTTATGCAATGAATTGTTAATTCTTCAATCACATATGCCGGACAACAGCTGAGGTACAAGTTATCTTACGATAGACTCACTTAGCATCATTTCCTGAAAACCATGCTCTTGTTAACGGTAAAAATAAGAATGAAAACAAAAAGCAATTGCAACCGAAGTCCAGCGGAATAAATATTGAACTTTTTGTAAATCGTGTTATAGCAAAAGCGTGTTTTAAAATTCGAAAATTATTTTCCGTGTTATATTGAAACCGCGTTTGACCGCCCTGAGGGACGCTTGTACATTCATTATTCTATAATAGCTTAGCTTAAGATAGGTAAATTTACACTAATGTATTACGTAAGTAAATAAAATCTTTTCAAGTATATGTATACGGGGGCGAGAATCGAATACATTTTATATATATGCGCGGCGGAGTATACAGAGGAGTTCAGGAATCGAAAATTAGTCACCGGACCGAAACAACTTTTGTCATTTGCCTTTACTGGCATGTATATGTTTGACGCAAACGCTATGTTGCCTTGGTTTTGCCTATTGATGGTGAGAAGTGTAGACAAATAAATCAGTCACACAATTAAATTTCCC